GACCAGAGACCATATTCTGTGGATATCAAATGTGACAAATTTATCATTTTTGCAGCTCTGTATTATTTCCTTCTTTACTTCATGGATGATTTTTTTAATGCTTATGAAATTATCTCAAGTTCAAGCTACTTAGTTCTTGGGGAAGTCAGATTGAAGACATGAAATAACAAAAAAGCCTAGTGGTTTAAAAATGGACACCATCAGACTTTGTTTGGAACAGTACTTTTAGGCAGTTTTATGCCATTGAGTCTGTGGTACCTTTCTACCACACAGCATTATTGAAATCCCTTATGAAATAAAAAACATGAATCACCGGAGACATTACAAACTAATTAAATTAATTAAAGAGTTAATTATGAATTGCAACTCCTTGACTGTGACCATCGTTGATGTGATTTATTGAGTTGTTGAAATAAAATAAGACTGTTGCAAATTGTATGGCTCGGAGCAAGAGGATGAAGGGGTTACCGACTGATGATATAATACCGGGGTACCCCACCAAGGGCTACATTCTACACGGTGCGTATATTATATGTCGTAGTTCATACCAGTTATGTTTAGTAAGGATGTAGAAATATGCGGATAAATATTATGATTGTCTAAAATGATATCTTTGTAGATCTGTTAAGACATCGATACACGTTAGGAAAGATTGAAGCAAAATTATATCATGTTTTGCAATTTGAAAAAGAATTTAAAAATTTCTGCAACTCTGAAAACGATCAATGTATAGTCCAATCACAAGTCTTTTGGCCAGTTTATGGATGTTCATATGTTGCACACACAATTATATGATACATCTAAATTTCCTGTATTAAGGAACTTTAATTGAACTTAAATCTCTTATTATATATATCAAGATTTATCATATGATGAGCAATTACGTAATGTATCACAGGGTTGGTGCATTGATACATCCCTACTTTTAGGTCCTCCGTGGAGTTTGACCCACATTTGCAAAATTTTACCAAATTTTACCTTTGCTGTAACTTTTGGACAGTTGGAGCTAGGGCTTTTACACTTCAAATGTGTATTCCTTGTGATAAGACTTTTTCTTGGGTATAAATATTTTTGACCTTTTACCTTGATCTTGGAGTTTGACCCACTTTTAAAAAAACTAGAATCTTGGCAGTAAGTTTTGAATGGTTGGAGCTAGGACTTTCTTATTTATCATATATATTCTTTGTGACAAGTCCTTCCCTTGAGCACCATTAATTTTGACCCTTTGATCTTGGTGTTTGACCTATTTTTGAAAAAATTTTGACCTTGGCCATAACTTTTGAAAGGTTGGAGATAGGGCTTTCATATTTCACAGGTGTATTCCTCGTGACAAGACCTTCCTTTGAGCACCATTAATTTTGACCCTTTGACCTTGACCTTGGAGTTTGACTTGCATTTGAGTCTTTTTTGAGAAACTTTAACCTTTGCCAAAAGCTGCCATATGGGGGCATCAGTGTTTCAAAAACACTTCTTGTTTTTTAAGTGAAATTGAAATAAAGTATAATTGTCTCTTCATATCTATTGCTAGTATCCTGTATTATTTAATGTTGTAATTCCATTTGTCCCTATGGAGCATATGTAGAAATCTAGAGTATTGAGGGACAGGAATATTAATTAAAACTATTACAGGCTGATCAGATAGACAAATAGAAAGCTGGGGAAACAATGCATTGATTCAAATTATATACTATATTTTGGATAACAGCAAGGGTTCTAACACAGATACATGTATTCATATCTGACCAGTACATTTATCTATTTTGATGGTATGAAAAACTTATTGAGATTTTTTTTACCATTATTACAATATGATAAAAACCTGATTAGTTGGGGGTGTTTGAATATTTTATGTAATTACTGACATTAAATCATGCAGTAAATAGGAGAGACTGTACAAAAGCACTCTTCCTCATCATAATCATATAGGGCGTATTAGAGTACAAATGAAGGGGCGATTGTACTCGAACGAGTGATAGAGTTGAGTTGTACTTGTGCAAGTTACAGAGTTGAATTACACTATCAGTGAATTACATCAGTTTGGATATGAGGGGGCCTTTACTAACCAAACTTTTATATTCACTCATTAGTAGACCCATGACGATTTGTACGCTAATACTCTTTTTTCATGTATTTTTGACATTTGATGAATTCATTTCATGTACTGCTATTGTTGGAGAGGAAATTTTATGGAATTACACAATCATTGATCTCTGAAATACAAGGTTTTATCATAGCATGGTTATAAAGTTGTAGAAGGCAGAGAAGTAAGGTGCATGGAGACTGTTCTAAAGTTTATCATGCGGTTTACGTGACTTGAAAATGAGGCTAGTTACGTGAGCTGGTCAATAAAAATAATAAGGAAGTTTAATTTTAATTAAGGGAAATCCCTCCAAGGGTGTTTTTTGTAACGATAAGAATGATTTTTTTCTTCATGTCAAAATTAATTAAGATTCTGAATGATGCAACATTGTTTAATTATTAAAGGAAAAACCCATGGATTAACATGACCCTTCTGGAAAAGTGGAATGAACTAACTAGAATCAGATATATTTTTGATTAATTTATCTCTGTAGCATATTAATTAAAAGTAAACGTATGAATTACAAGTCAACTAATCAAAAATGGGTAGTCACTTCCTTACCAATTAGTTTCAAGAAGTCTTTATGCGGGTCATGTAAATTTTTTCAGCAATAATTGCAACAGTAAAGTCCCCTACTAACAAAGAAAACATTTTATATTGTTTAAAAATACCTGATAGACAAGGTCCTAATTATCAAATTTTATGTATCTAGATGATGTGTGGGAATAACCTTTTTTTGAATGTTTAATAAGGTATTCATTTATTTTTCACTTTAGAAACAGAAATATAAAATTTTTTTTATTTTTCCAAAAAGATAATTTTATTCTTAAAGCATAATAATTAATTTTTTTTAATTTCCAATTTTTTTTTTTTAAAAAACCCTACCTTTTTTTCTGAATGGTTCATTTGAGACTGTTGATGAGGCCAAAAATAAAATTAGCTTTGTTTGGTGTTGCTGGCCAACTTGCATAAATCGTTGTGGTCTGAAGAATTTTTTCAACAGATACTGATCATAATTTTTATTTTGTTATATTCATCCGGATTTAGGTGTTTGTACGTTTGCATAATATATACAGAATGGGAAAGAATCATGTAAACGCTTGATTGATCAAACAGTTTTCATTTATAAGCGTCTATGTGATGTTGAATAAATGCGTATCACGAATCCAAACATGGCTGTAGGAAGCGATAAAATGTAAACTCGGTATAACGGAAGTTGATGGCAAGACTCTCTGTGGTAATGTGGTTTTAAAAGTAAACTGATGAATAAGATATGCTAGTTCGAAATAGAAATTTCACGGTACTGTGAATGTCCTATCTCATTTGCTAATCTAGCTGCCATGCTTGGATTCATGCACATGATTCGAATTTACACTAATTTAATGTCAGTGATTTTTAATACTATGTATATTAAAGGTTTAAAACTAATAGGGTTTGAAAATCAATGACAAAACTGAGAATCAATTTGGACTGTGGTTGTTGTTAAACTATCGGAAACCCATGACGTTCGGATACTAATAACATGTACCATTTCTGAAATTTAAAAAAAAATATTTTCCCTACCTACCGACCCAAACGTATAAAGACTAAGTCGGCAACGCCAAACCAACAATATTTTAATTGTGGCCTGAAGGATCTAGTAATTATGTAGAAGTGTGAAGGTACATGTTTAATAATTTACTCAATTTATATACAGTCGAACTTCGTTATCTTGAACACTGATATCATGGATATCCATGGAATACCATGGATAGGTCGAAGTGATTTGGAAGTCCCATCCCCTTATTTTACCCTGGATATCTTGAATCCTCGGATATCTTGAATATTTCGGATGTCCCATTGAGTTTGAGATAACGATGCTTGACTGTATTAAGTAGATTTGTTACTTAAAGTTCGTTTTTGATAGTAGTTTAAATATAACATGTAATGAATATGGTAAATTAAAATAAAATAGAGACTATAACAAATTTAAGTACAATGTTGATTCAAATAACATACATTCCAAATATGTTATTGATTTTGATAAAATGATTGATTTTGATTAGAGCTTACTAAATAAAGAACAGCAACAAAGAATCCTCATGACAAGGTTTTCCCTAATTAGGATAATTAAGCCCTAATAAAGACATTTGTTCTGCCTCTGATAAGCACGTCCCTTGGGTGTTATAACCATGATGCAATGATTCTAGAACAAATCATATTCCAAGAGCAGAACACAAAGGAAGACTCATTGATAAGTCCTAGCTGCTGAATTACTGTTAGTATATATTTTTTTACTTAATGTTAAGTTGCTATTAGTATATATTATAATATTAAATAATTGTTCACTAGGCCTACAGAAAGTAGGCGGCGAATTTGCCACAAATATTCGGGTGCCGGCTCTTATGGAGAACCCTGACCATGCAGGTATATGTCAGATAAAAGGGATATGTCAAATACCAAGGATATGTCAAATACCACAGATATGTAGGATATCAGGGATATGTGTCACATACAAGGGATATGTCATATACAAGGGATATGTCAAATACCACAGATATGTTAAATACCACAGATATGTAGGATATCAGGAATATATCACATACAAGGGATATGTGAAACACCAGGGATACATGTATGTCAAACACCAGGATTATGTATGTCAAATACCATAATACAAGGGATATGTCAAATACCAAGATATATGTCAACTGTGGTATATGTCAACTACCAAGGATATGAAAGGTATTAGGTATATGTCAAATGCCAGGGTCATATCAAGAACCAAGGATATATCAAATATGTGGTATATGTCAAATACCAAGAATATGTCAGATATGTGGTTTTTATTAATATATGTTGAGCTTTGTAGATGCTCTATATTGGAGATGTTGAGCTCTGTAGGTGCTCTGTATTGGAGATGTTGAGCTCTGTAGGTGCTCTATATTGGAGGTGTTGAGCTCAGTAGGTGCTGTATATTGGAGATGTTGAGCTCTTTGGGTGCTCTATATTGGAGGTGTTGAGCTCTATGGGTGCTCTGTATTGGAGATGTTGAGCTCTGTAGGTGCTTTATTTTGAAGATGTTGAGCTCTGTAGGTGCTGTATATTGGAGATGTTGAGCTCTGTAGGTGCTCTGTATTGCAGATGTTGAGCTCTGTAGGTACTCTATATTGGAGATGTTGAGCTCTGTAGGTGCTCTATATTGGAGATGTTGAGCTCTGTAGGTACTCTGTATTGGAGATGTTGAGCTCTGTAGGTGCTCTGTATTGCAGATGTTGAGCTCTGTTGGTACTCTATATTGGAGATGTTGAGCTCAGTAGGTGCTCTATATTGGAGATGTTGAGCTCTGTAAGTGCTCTATATTGGAGAGGTTGAGCTCTGTAGTGCTCTATATTGGAGGTGTTGAGCTTTGTAGGTGCTCTATCTTGGAGATGTTGAGCTCTGTAGGCAGTGTTTTTTAAACCACCGCCCCCTCCTTTTGAATTGGGAAAAACTAGCGACATTTTCCTCAAATTGGGAAAAATCATTTATAGTAAATTAGAATGCTAAAAAATACATAAAATAATCAAACTAAGTAACAACAACAGATTTTGTTTGATTTTAACTTTAAATTTGATTTAAATTCATAAAATAATCATTTAAAAAAATTAACATCAATAATTTATTGAATGTGAACATGGCTTATATTAGTCACATGCTTGTAGTTTCTATTTTCTTGGAATTGCTTTGTCTAATTTTATAAAAAAAAAAAAGGAAAATAACCACCATCTAGACTCATAATCTAGTAAACTGTCTTATATTGATAATCAAGTTTACAGTCTTTTCTGTTTGTTTTTTCCCCTGATTTTAGTGAAAACCTTTGTGTTGTCCATTTCCTGTTATTAGCCAGACCCTCTATGTAATAATGGCGGTCAAACCAAAATCATTATGTCAACATGCAATATGACTTGTATCACAGGAGTTGGCAGTTTTATCCATAAAGCAATGTAAACAACAACCAGTGAGCTTCGCGAGCGTAGCGCACGCTCGCTACGCTCGCGAATCTCACTGGTTGTTGTTTATGTTGTTTTATGGATAAAACTGCCGACTCCTGTGCTTGTATCTGGGAAGTATTTACCAATTCATTGAGAATATTATAAGTTACTTATCTGCTTATATGGATATCTGCATTAAGTTACACATTCATTAAAAAAATCAGCTGCATATGCATGGATTTGAAGAATAAAAACGTATTTACTCTGTCGGCTAATTTAGCGACTTTTGTTCAGAATTAAAACATAATTTTCGTATATTTGAAATTGGGAAAAATATACTAATAATTGGGAAAAAATAGTTTATTTTTGTGAGGGGAAACAGCTGAATATCGGTGGCATTTTGACCCAAAAAAAATCACTGGTAAGTGCTCTATATTGGAGATGTTGAGCTCTGTTGATGCTCTATACTGGAGATGTTGAGCTCTGTAGGTGCTCTGTATTGGAGATGTTGAGCTCTGTAGGTGCTCTGTATTTGAGATGTTGAGCTCTGTAGGTGCTCTGTATTGGAGATGTTGAGCTCTGTAGGTGCTCTGTATTTGAGATGTTGAGCTCTGTAGGTGCTCTGTATTTGAGATGTTGAGCTCTGTAGGTGCTCTGTATTGGAGATGTTGAGCTCTGTAGGTGCTCTGTATTTGAGATGTTGAGCTCTGTAGGTGCTCTGTATTTGAGATGTTGAGCTCTGTAGGTGCTCTGTATTGGAGATGTTGAGCTCTGTAGGTGCTCTTTATTTGAGATGTTGAGCTCTGTAGGTGCTCTATATTGGAGATGTTGAGCTCTGTAGGTGCTTTATATTGGAAATATTGAGCTCTGTAGGTGCTCTATATTGGAGATATTGAGCTCTGTAGGTGCTCTATTTTGGAGATGTTGAGCTCTGTAGGTGCTGTTTATTGGAGATGTTGAGCTCTGTAGGTGCTCTATATTGGAGATGTTGAGCCCTGTAGGTGCTCTGTATTGGAGATGTTAAGCTCTCTGGGTGCTCTGTCTGGATTATATAATATTTGATGAATAAATTTCTAGCAGTACACAGATTGAGGACCTCAGACAGACTCCATGAACCTATATACACTAGCAATAAGGGAACTAATTAAAAGCCATAATGTGAATGAAAAATACATGGGCAGAAATTGATGGCGTATGATAAAGTGTAATAGGGACGTGTTTTGATATTGTACAACGCAGCACTCCTAGCCAAAAAGTACATGTTAAACTTTTGTTGTCAAATTCTGGTTCATTTGATTGAAACTGCAGGAATAAGTCACTTGGGAGTGCTCAAAATTTTATTTTGAAATTAACATGTTTACAGCACTGCAACCATAAAATGTATTACAAAGCTGTTTAGGATTATGAAAATTTTGTAATTGGCCTGGATTTTTTTTTTCAAAATGATGCATTACTCAAATTACTAATCATACATTCCCCCTGCGAGATGATCATGAATAATTCATGATTTTCCTTGAATTATTCATGAATTTTATTCATGAAATGTTCATGAAATGTTCATGAAGATCCTATGAACTTATTATTGGACATTTTCAAATCATGAATTTTTATTCATGAAAGAAAGTTGATGAATATTCATGAATATATTTTTTCATGAATAATTCATGAAGAGTCATATTCATGAAGATTCATCATTTTAAGAATTGTCCAATAATAAGTTCATTGCATCTTCATGAACTGTTCATGAATAATTTTTAAAATTTATTCAGGAATGTTCATGAATGAATAAAATTCATGAACTATTCATGAATATTCTTGCTTATTTGTATACAAAAATGCAATTGTACTATTCACTTTTATTCATGAAAATGCAAGAAGTCTAATCAAGCAAAAAACTGTAAAAGAAGATATTTTATAATACAGCATCTTGAAAGATTTCACAAAATTTCTGTTTGTTTTCCAACAATGGCAACAAAATGTCTTTAAGTGTTTTTTTTTTTTTTTAAAGTAAACAACTCTGATAAGTTGATATCCATAATTATATATACATGTATATCTTATTTTACTCTTATTTAATATTTAAAGTGACAAACTAGAAAGAGTTGAAGTATCTTGAAACACTGTTTACAGACAGACATAAAGAACTGATATTAGCTGAATTTGAGCTCCCTCTTCTTTTAATAACAATTAAAAAAAAACAGCATTCAAATGGCAACACATTTTCATAGAATTGAAGGCTTTACAATTGCCTTACCACTTACTTGCAACTTTGTGAATGTTTTGAATTTCTCGTGTACATGTAGTTTATTCCTGGTAAAATTATGAAAAATTTCAAACACGACTCTTTGTAGAATCCTAAACCTTACTTGGTCAAGAGGAGGGCGGGGTTCTTCCTCAGCATAATTCAAAGTTGTTTTTTTTTTCGCCAGAAATGGAACAGTTTTTAATTCCAGTGTAGGAGAAAAGTCTGTTTAGCAATAGGGCAACAGCTTTGAGGGCTTTCAAGCATTTTTGAGCAGAAATGGTCAATTCCAAGATTCTTCTTGGTTCTCCATTTGGAATTTCCAGAATTTCATCATTCGGATCCTTTGATCGAATATCATTCATATTTTCATTTCTTTCTTTTGTTTTTTCAAGAGCCAGATTTTTTTGCAGAGTTTCTTATCTTCTGATCTCAACTCATCAACATCGCTTATGAACTGCTTCCCTTTTCCCTACAAGAACAAAGATTTTCTGAAAATGTCCATGAAGATTTCTGTTACATTTCTTAACTAATGAGAATCAACAAATCTTAAACTTTAACATTTTTACACTTGAACATGGTATTATAATGAAGTTTGCCAAGAACATTCACCTAAAAAAATTCATCTACAAATATATAGTATACTCTTTATTTAGCTGAAAAGTGTAGTATTAAAAGCAACTTTTGGTGTGTAATGCTAAAAAGTTACATTTACCAAAACAGATTGACATAAAGTTGCAAACGAAACTGCAAAGGGGAAACTGCAAAGGGGATCATAAATTTACCTAGGACTACAGGTCATCCAATATTAAAACAATGATTCTTAAAAGTTTATCATGGCTTAAACACTATAACATAATTAAATATGAAAAGTACTAATTTGTCTTTGTCTAAAGATTCCCTGGACCTAAATTTATGGTTTAAATCTTCAGTGTCACTTTCTGAAGAAAGTGTCCTATTAAAACAGAATTAAAAGAAATTTTCAGGCAATTTATAACAAAAATAAGATTTTTTTTCCCTTAAAAAAAAAAAAAAGATATTAAAAAGGTAAGTGCAGAGAGATGCTGCAAACAGTTCAAAGGTTACTATTGTACATTAACCTGCTTGATTTACCTGTAGTATTTAGTGATGTGGCAGGTGGTGACTGCCTTTCTGTTGCTGAATCAGATGATGAAGCTGGTGCTTTTTTTAAGGAGCAAATTTGTTTGCCTTGAAAATATTTGCTCGAACAGGATGCTATTTAGAAAAAAATATTTCATTTTCAATGATAGACTATTTGTGTCTGTGTAATCATTTTAATTTGTGAAAGTATAATTATTCTAATAGATTAACTTAAGAGAGCTGAACTGTTTGGGTTACACTTTAAAAGAAACTTTTCATACGTACTGATGCATCCTGAAATGTATGGTTAAGTTCTCCAGTTCCTTCTTTTATTTTCTCAAGATGTTTCTTGTCATCTAGAAATTTACAATAAAACAATTATATGACTTTTAACTTAGAATTTTCATTTTACACAACTCTTATTAGCATCCAGTCTTGGGTCAAAACACTTTGTATGTGCCTTATCTAATCAATTAAAGCACCATTAGATTACAAGTGTAAAAGTGGTCAGGAACCCCACCCACCCACCCCCACCCCCCTTTCAAAAAAAAATCATACTCTAAATTTAAAAAGTTTGAATTCTTATTGTAAATTTACCAAAATTAGGTTTTATCCCCTTCCCTGCCATTAGCTAAAGATACAGAAAAAAAACATATTTTTCTTGCAAGTTTTATTAATTTTAGTTTTATGCATCATAAGCAGATCTAGAAGGGGTAGCAGTTCTTCCATAGAGCAGTCTGAGAGGAAGTTTGCTTATTTCCCTCGGCTGTCATGTTGTAGGTCAATAGGCATATGAATTTTTTGATAAACTAGCTTATCTATAATTAATGTATGTTACTTTGGTTGGATCCCCACTCAAAGCAAAGTTTGGCAAAGTCTTCATTTAAAAAAAGGCATAATAATTTAACAAATAGAGTAACATCTACCGACAGATATCTGATTAAATGATTAAATCAGTGATTGCCTACCGTTTTTTGTAACTCACCACTAATCTCTGAAGTTATGGCTGCAAAGTAGATTTATCCTCTGAATATATATATTCTTCCTTCTTCGTATTCTGATATTTCCTTAAGAGGCTGACAAAGAATGACTACGCTAATTATAATACTTTAACATCGATCCTCCTACTCTATCATTCACATTTCCAACGTCTTGCGCGTTTCAAGTTTGCGCCTTTCGTCTTCACCAATGGAAACTTGGGTTCTTAAAAATGTAAGGCAGAGCTAGGATATAGTTTCGAATTCCCAATATTTTTATTTTAAAAAAATAACAAAGACTATCTGAATATTTTTTCACTGGAATTAAATTTTAAAAATGAATATAATTTTTATCAATTAATGAAATCAAAGAAAATTTTTACGTCATCAATGAGCGTCTTCGTTTCGTATTATCATAACAAATATGGCGGACGAGGGAACGGGAGGACAACAACTATGAAGACGTATGGGAGAATAGACGAAAAAAATACGAATGTGGATCATGTCATAGATACTTCACAACCATGCAATCTGTGTTGTATCATTTAGACACGATGCATGGAAAAAGTATGACTTTTTAACTACATCAATATTTTTGTATGGGGATAAAGCGTTTAACGTTTCGACCCACGAATAGTACGGTACAGTACGGATAAGACATATAATTTTTTAGTTGTAAATAAATATATGACGTGTTTTAACGAAGATTACGAAGTTTTTTCTTAATTGTTTCAGTTTCTCACAACTTGCTTTAATTTTGACATTAGAGAAAATTCGGTCGAACAAAGTACGTTGCGTCGTGAAAAATAAGATTATTTAAAGCACATTTTCAATGTAACTGGTTAATTAAAATAATAAAGGAACATAGGTAATTTAATAAAAAAAAAATTGCTGGCTATCATGATGCAGTGTTTGGTTAATTATAATCAAAACACGAAATGTATACAGATTTCATGATTTATATTTTTTAGATAGTAGATAAATGAAAAATTATCAGGTCCAGTACAAAGTCTATTAACTAATAGCTACGTAGGTATTTAAACCTACCCAAAGTAGCTATTTTTACCTACTTTTTGCATTACTTGCATTTTGTGGGCAAACGGCTGAATGGCGCAACATGGTGAGTACCAAATTTCTAAATGCAGTCACACTGATGATGAATACAACAAAATTTTGGCCACAAATTGATTACGTCGTAAATTAACAATTTTGCATTAATTACTATTAATAGCTACGTAGATAGAAATAGTCTTTGGACTGGACCTGATTATACCATGGGCTTGTTCAACACTGCATTTGCATGCAAAAGTTGTATTATGGGAGTTATGAGTGTTTTCTGGCAATCGCTTGTGTCAATTAAGTCTTCATGAAAATTCATGAACATTCATTACCTTGAACTAAACGTTTTTTTCTGTTTTTAAACTGAAAATTACCTATATTCATATATATTCATCATTTGTTCATGAACTACATTTTATGAATATATTCATGAATAAAATTCATGAACTATCTTTATGAACCAGTCATGAACCAGTCATGAATACATCATGAATTTTCATGAACGATTCATCAAAGTTCCTGAAATTATGAATTTCATCTCGCAGGGGCCCAGCTATGTCAAGGATTTTAATGTCTTCTCTATTTCATATAAATGATAAGTAAAGATTTAAACTAAAACCTCAAAGAAACTGATAATTATAAATCTCCTTTACAGATTTGCCATTTATCCCTCTTTCAGACATATACTGTAAAATCACTAATTTTGGTGGTGGTTTAATTTTCATCGATTTCCTGGTGTGAAGTGACCCACGATTTCATGTCCCCCATGAAATGTTAAGAAAATAGTAAAATGTTAACCCTCAATATCAAAAACCCTCGAACCAATATTTTTTCTTTAAACCACAAAAATTTGACCCCATGAAAATAAGTGAATTTACAGTATGCAATACAGGGTAATTTTGGACAAAAATTGAAAAAAAAATCAATATAGATACTGTATGGTAAAATGTTAAGGAACTGGTTGTGAGCAAGTTTAGTATACAGGTATACATGTAACAATGTGAAATAACAAAACAAATGTTTAAAAGTCTGGACCCAAATGACTTTGTTTGGAATTCATCACTTAATTGTTACACTTTGTTAGAAAAAAATACATAATTCACCAAATCTTCAAATTTATATTGGCAGTAATGATTTTTGTGATCAATAATATTATAAAATTTGCATCACACCTGACAATTATTTCAAAGGGTTTAATTTTTTAAGTCTTTGGAAATGTGGATCACCAATGCATGATCTGAGTTATATAAATACTCTCTTATACTTGTCAGAGAGAGAGAGAGAGAGAAGAGTTAGAGAGAAAGAGATATAGTACCGAAATATTGGCTGAATTCAATTATGCTCAGAACATTGGTCTCGGAGGAAAACCCATCACTAATTAGAAAGGGACCAGCTGTGTAAACCTCACTATAGAGTAGATCCATTCAGGCAAATTGATTTGTGACTTAGCATCTGCACTTCTGCTATGGAAGGATAAAACATGTTGAAACATTCAGTTTCTAGTTTAGAACTTGGATACAGGTCACATGTAGAAGATAGAGGATTAGAAGGGAGGGAATTCAGGAGGAAATTGCACTCAGTTTGCACAGACAATGGCTTGGAAGGTTTGTATGCATATTTTTTATCAGTCTCTACAAGATTATTTCAAATTTTATATTAATTCATTTTGCTAGAAAATGTAAAATATTGGGCTTGAAATAATTAGATTTAAAAAATTCAATAATCTGTATTTATATAAACATATACTTTATTTACATTAAAATTTTATTTATTCAGCAATTTGAAATGCAATGAAATGATTGAAGTAAAACTTTTTATCTTTGATTTTGTCAGAAAAAATATGTTTAAATTTTACAGAAAAAAATATTGAAATTTTACAGATTCTATAAAGGCTGGTTCATCTTTTCCACCATCTTCTATAGGATCTTCCTACTCGGCAGAAATAAACAGGAACTTCTCGGGTGAATGTTCATTGGTCAGTTCTGAAGTTGACCGATGGCTATCCTCTGAGATCCTAGCTCCTCTAGCTTCCAGGGAGGATTCCAGACTGACCAATGAAATTAAACGAAGCAAAAGCTTCTGCTATGGGGAACTAAGGATCTTTAGTGAAAGTGAAAGTAGATCTGTTAAATGTGACCTTGTTGCTAGAAAAGACAAAACTAACAAAGATTGTGACTTTGTGTTAGGATATTCATCTGCTCATACAAGAAAGGACTCTGATATTTCAAGATCTGATGACCATGTATATGAGCCTTATGGGAAAGAAAAAGAAAAGTATTCTGCATTAGCTTCTGATAAAAATTCTAAACATATAGGTGAAGACCAAAAGGACGTTCATTTTTGTCCATCTGAAGGAAGTGATTTTGAACATGACATTGTAATAAAACATATACTCGTCAGTGATCAGAATGATTACAAAGACACAAGTGTAAACTTGTCATTGAGTGATGAGTCAAACATAAAGCACTCTGATAGTGAAACAGAGGATGATTTCATTGGTGTTTTTGATGTTGAAGATGAAGGAAATGATGCAAGAGATCAAACAGATGTTAGTTCAGTGAGCAACCTTACTGACAGTGATGACCCAATTGATCAAAATGTTGATATTGTACAGACAGGTGAGAATTCATTGAAAAACCTCACCAATTCCAATAACCCAAGTCAACCAATTGAGCAAAGTGTTAATGTTGTACATAGTTCAAATCTGTACCCAGAAGGTTGTGATGTGAAATGTGTCACAGTACAAGTGTCCATAAATTCAGAGGAGGAAGAAATCTATGCCACTCCCAATCAGCAGAAATTTGAACAACTGAATACTGGCCAGTCTTCTGAATTGTTTGTCTTGAGTAATTCTAATGTAAGTCAAGATTTTGCCAATAAAGGAGATCTATACTTGCCTGTTGCTGTTGATACTCAAGTAAGAGAAAAACAGGGTGTACTATGGGGATCAAATACAAATTTGGAGACTGATGATCAGCATGGACATTATGGATTATATCAAAAAGATATTTCATCCCCTCAGAATTCTCTGCAAAATCCAGACAGAGATAAGAGACAGAATCTGATTGAAGAAATTACAATTACTGTTGATGGAAGAAAATCTGACAAATCAAATGATGACAATTCAGATAACATTGCTTGCAGTGAAGAGAAATGTGAAGAATTAGTTCTAGAACCAAAGATTAGAAGTTCTGCAAAAGGCATTGTCAGTGAAGTGGAAGGCAATGCTCATACAAGACTTTTGACAAGTTGTAAAGCAAACAGTGTTTATGATGAAGTGCTAAAAGAGGAAGATAATTACTCAACAACAGATTTGCAGAACAGTGGTGAGTGTCCATTTGAGGCTATTCCAGACTTTGACAAAGAAGATTATCAAGATTTAACAGTTCACCCCTGTCCTGGTATTAATACAGAAGTTGAAGAAAATTTAGTACAACCAATTGTTGTTCAGACTGGGATAGATCAGACTGAAGTAATCCAAGAAGACAAAACAGCATTATTTTTACCTGTTGATCCATCAAGAGAGAATACTTCTCTTCCTGAGTCTTCCCTCTGTTTTTCTATTAATTCTTATGTAGAAATTCAGGAAAAG